TCCATATTCTTCAGACTATAGAGAAAAAGGCTCCGTACCCCTGAGAGTCCAGATAACTCTCCGTTTATCTGCGGCCTCTACTGCCTGGAGATGCATTGTGGGGCCTTTCAGGGGTGGTGGGGAGGCAAATGTCTGTATGAACCACTGTAGAAACTCAGGCAGATGACCACAGAGGCAAAGGTGATCCATACAGGGCCTGGAGGTAGAGTTGACTTCATTCTTCTCCAGAGTCCCACATGGTTCTCCCTGTCCCCTCCCTCACTTCCTTGGTTATTACCATGTCATTTTACCAGTGAGATCTTTCTCAACCCTGTATCTAGAACTGCATCAGTCCCTCCTCCTGGTCCCCCTCTTCACCTGCCCTTGTGAGTATGCCCTGTGAGTTTGACCAGCTTACATGTTTGATCAGGTCCTCCTTGCTGGCGAGAGAACCACCCTGAGAGCAAGACACCTTGCAGCAGACAAGCTGCTTGAGGGTTTAGGGGACAAGCACCAGCTGTGCTGGAGGGGTGTGTGAGCTGCTTGACGAGTGTTCTGGACCCAGAGGTCCTGGGGGACAGGGAGTAGAGTTGAGATCTTCTTTCTCATCCTCTGCTCCCAGTTACCTACTGGCCTTTGTGACCTCTGAAGGGTAGCTCCATGCTGAAACACATCTTCTGTCCCTTCAGATAAAGTAGGGTCCACAGTAAGTGGGACTTCAGTGAATCCCAACTGAGAGGGGCCCAGGGGTCCTGCATCTCCTAAAACCTTAGCTCCCTGGTAGGGCCACAGGGCCACAGGGTTACTGGGTCAAGCAAATGTCCAGGCTAGGGGCTTGGGGACAAGGAGAAACCAGTTTGTTTGGTTCCAATGGAGGAATGGACCTTCCTTGTTCTAGGGCAGAAACCAAGGCTGCTGTTTGGCATGGGGCCAGGCGGCACAGCCCAAAGGCACACAAATTCCCCCTGCCTATCTACCACTTCATCTCTGTGGAAGCCTGTTACAGGTTTGCTGATCTGGAAACCAGGGGTGAGATGGGACACAGCACAGGACAGGGTAAGGACAACCTAGGTGCCTGGCCAGCCCTGTCCTTGGAGGTAACTGGCACACCCTCCAGAGTAGGGCAGATCTGGGTTGAGGCTCACCTACCTTTTACCCACAGTGATGAATACATGCCTCTCACGCAGCTGTGGTGAGACAGACTGGCTAGAGGGTTTTGGAGGAATGGATAACACAGGGAGGCTCCCCTGAGTGACTCTGAAGAGCAGGAGTGTACCTGTGCTCCCTACCCCGACTCCTATGCTGAAGCCTTGAGTGACAACACCTCAGGGGTGTGAGTATAAACATACAAGCGTCTTTTCTGGATTTTCACTTTAATGCATTTTCTAATTTCCTTTCAGAGTGTAGGAACCAGACTTGAACCCTCTTTACACAAGCTGGGGTCCCTGGGAGGGCCACCTTCCTATTCCTCTCCTGAGACAGGGCCTGAGACACTGCTTCAGGAGCCTGCTTTCCTGACAGCTTGACCCGACCCAGCTTTGTGGCCTCTGCTGGTGTGTTTGGCTCAGACAGGGTGATATGGGTGGGATACAGAAGAAAAGGTATGTGGGGGTCAGGTGTAGTGGCACATACATGTGCTACCAGCACTTGAAAGGCAGAAGAATTTTGAGTTCGAGGCTAGTCTGGGCTATCTAATGAGACCATGCCCCAGCCTCCCCCCAAAAGCAAAGAAAGACAGAAAATGAGAGTTCTCTCTCTCTCTCTCTCTCTCTCTCTCTCTCTCTCTATATATATCTCTCTCTCTCTCTCTTCCTCTTATTATATATTATATAGTGTGTGTATGTGTGTGTGTGCGTGTGCATTATGGTACACATGTGGAGGTCAGAGGGCAATTTGTAGGAGTCAGTTGGTTCTTTCCTTCCCGCATGTGGGTTCCAGGGATCAAACTCAGGTCATTAGACTTGATGGCAAGCACCTTTATCCACTGAGCCATCTCACAGGCCCTTGACTCCATCATGGCACATAACCACAGGCTGGAGAAGCCCAGCTGGTCTCCCCCATCTTCTCACTCTAAAGTGGGCCCAGGGGCTACAGTCTAGCCTGCTTATGAGTGTCAGAGGCGAGAACTGATGGAATGAGATATCTGGGGCTTACCCCAGCCAAGGAGAGCAGTTATAGAGCCTGGGAGCTGCCAGGGGGCTGCTGGGCTCCTTGGGCTCCTGAACCTGGTCAACCCTGGCCTGTCTGTTCCTGTCCTGACCCCACATGTGTAGGGGTTCAAAAAAACCTTCGTGGTCTCTGATGGGGTAGTCAGGGAGGAGGTTCTTGGCAGAGCTCCAGCTCTGGGTTATGAGATCCAGAGGTGTATGGACTGGGAGCTTGCAGTGGTGGTCTGTCAGCAGAGTGAGCAGTCAGGGGACTTGTCCCCAAAGATCAGCACCCAGAGGATGTTCTTGCTCCTAAGGCATTTCACCATCCGACTTGGGGTGGGTTCACCCTTGGGCTGGGGCCACCTGCCTTCATGCTGTACCCATGGGCCTTGCCCTAGAGCTGCAACAGACTTTCACACCCATAGTCACCAGGGTTCCAAATAATACCCTGGTAGGGAAGGGTGGGTGTCCCACCCTAGATATCCTTAGCCAGCCAAGCAGAGGTTGGGGAGGCCCAGGATAGCCACAGGGGTGGCAATTCCCATGACCTTCTACATGCTCCCTGGGCCATACTCCTGCAAGAAATGTGTGTGTGTGTGTGTGTGTGTGTGTGTGTGTGTGTGTGTGTGTAAGTCCCTGGGTGGGTGTGGTGGTGGTGGGGAGTTGCCCTCTTAGGGGAGGAAAGCAAGTACTGCCTTTGATCCTATGTATGAACCTCAACTCAGTCCTAGGGTCTTGAGTAGCCCTGTGAGGTGGCTGTGGTCCCTGTACCTTTTTAAGTGAGGTGATAAAACATAGAGATGTTATAAGCTTGCCCAGAGCCATGCAGGGAACAGACTTTAAGTCAGGCAGTTGGCACTAGAGTCTATGTTGTTAGCTACACCATACATAGTCTTTGGGGGATATTGAGCCATCCTGTCACGTGGGAACAGTGTGACAGACAGTCCCTTGGGTTTCCTCTGTGAGACAGGAGGGGAACACCTATAAGTAGGTGGGAGTCAGGACAGACAGCTGGAAGTCAGAGGTAGTGGAGTTGGAGGAGCAGAAAGTAGAAGGCCACCCAAAAACCTGGAGACAGTCTCTGCTGGAACCAGTCATGAGGACCCCACACAGGCTGTTCTGTCACCAGTTCAAGGGAGGATATGAGTTTTTTTTCTTTCCAAAGGCCCTATGGCTCAAGGAAAGACAGGGCTTGTAAGAGACTCTTTTTTTAAAAAAATTACATTTATTTATTTATTTATTTATTTATCATGTGTATATGTATATGTATAATGTGTGTGTGTGTGTGTGTGTGTGTATGAGTGTATCCACATGTACACCACTGTGTGCATGTGGAATTCAAAGGACAACTTGGTTTTTTCTTTTCACCATGTGGGTCCCAGGGATGGAATTCAGGTCATCAGCCTTGGCAGCAAGCTCCTTATTCCCTGAGCCAGCTTGCCAGCTCCCTTTTTAATTTATTTTGTTTTTAGTGTGTATGTATGTGTGCAGCAAACAATTTTAACTGATGAGCCATCTTACTGGTCCCCATAAGACAACTTTTGGGAGTCAGTTTTCCCCTTTCACTGTTTGTTATAGGGTTGAACTCAGATGATGAGTCATTCAGGTCATCAGGCACTTAGGTTTTCAAGCGTGGGTGCCAAGTGCTGTTATGTGCTGAGCCATCTTGTAGGATATATATAAAGCAGATATGCTTTATTTTTATTTTATGTGTATAAGTGTATTACCTACATGTATGTAAGTGCACCTGTGTCATGCAATGCCCGCAGAGGTCAGAAGGGGCATCAGGTTCCCTGGAACTGGAGTTAGGTTGGTTGTTAGCTGCCATGTGGGTGCTGGGAACCAAACCTGGGTCCTCTATAAAAGCAGCCAGTGCTCTTAACCACTTAGCCATCTCTCCAGCTCCAATTTATATATATATATATATTTTTGTTGTTGTTGTTGTTCACATGGCCCAGACTGGCCTAGAACTCATGTAGTTGAGTTGGTTTTGAACCCTGCGCCTCCTGCCTCCTTCTATAAGTGTTGGGATTACAGATGTGTACCTCCAGGCCTGGCTTGCAGCAGTTTCTTTTCTGCACTGGTAACAAAGCCCAGGTCCTGTACCAGTATAGGGACACAACCATAGACTGCCATGGACTGCCTTTGGGAAGTTTAGTCTGGGGAAGAAACACTGTCAGCACCTTGGGTGGTGGTGTCTGTCACCCAGACTGTAGAAGTAGGGAAGGTGCTACGGGGCATACGTCATCTCAGTCAAGAAGGGTTTCATGTCACAGCACAGTGAAGATCGAAGGGGGCAGAATGGACAGGCAAGATACCTGCAGAATATACAGCAGGAGCCAAGTCAAGGTTTCTTTTAAAAAATGTTTACTATTGGGGCTGGAGAGATGGCTCAGTGGTTAAGAATACTGGATGCTCTTGCAGAGGACCTGGGTTTGATTCCCAGCACCCACATGGCAGCTAACAGCTGTCCTTAATTCCAGTTCCAGGGGATCCCATACCCTCTTCTGACCTCCATGGGCACTGCATGACAGGGATGCACCTACCTACATGCAGGCAATACACTCATAAACATAAAACAATAAACTTTAAAAAGTTTATTTTTGTTTGTGAATGATGTAGGCATAGGGGACATGCCATGATGCATGTGGAGGTCAGAGGACAACTTTTGAGCTCTCTCTTTCTACCTTTACATGGGTCCCAGGTATCCAACTCAGGTTAGGCTTGTATGGCAAGCATTTTGCACACTGAGTCATCTGTCTGGCCCAGGGTTTCTCGTGTAAACAATAAAGGAGGCCAAGGCCTGGACCTGGTCTGGGCCTCCAGCTGGAACTGTGGAGCTCTGGGAGACTCCTCCTGTTTTGTCCCTAGGTGCTGGGACTACTAGTGTGGGCCCTGATTGCTGACACTCCGTACCACCTATACCCTGCCTACGGCTGGGTGATGTTCGTCGCCGTCTTCCTCTGGCTGGTGACAATCGTCGTCTTCATCATCTACTTGTTTCAGCTACACATGAAGTTGTACATGGTTCCCTGGCCGCTGGTGGTGAGTCTGGCAAGGGCTCTGGGTGGCTCCAGGTTGAGTCCTCTTACCTATGAATGGCCTTGACAGGACCCCTGTGACTATCCCTAAATGAGAAGTGGAGGGCCTGGAGTAGGTGGGTTGGTCAAAGTCCTCCTGCCCCTGGCAGAACTGAGTGGGAGAGCCTGATAATGGCTGAAGTAGATGTTTGGTTTGGTCCTGGGAAGGGCTTAGCAGTTAGGGGCTGAGTGGATCCACATAAGGCCCTTTAGATTCTTATAGATATAGTTTCTTTTTTGAAGGTGGTCAGAATTTGAGCCTGGGTGTCTTGAGTTTGACAGGTGCTCACTTCAGCCTAGCATGAATATCCACTGCCCCCAGACAGCCCTACAGCCCAGGAGAGGATGGGTTCCCCAGGTTTGCTCCAAGCCAGTCTCCTCAGACTGGGGGAAGCACCCTGGCCTGACATGGAAAGTGGTTGGGGTTTTTCTGGAACCTGGAAAACCCTTGCAGCTGGGTCTGAGTCTTTCAGTGAGCACAGAGGCACATGATTGTAAGACAAGCGAAGCTGGGACTAGGCAGCAATTGTTTGCAATTCAATGACTGTTTAATCAGAGGAAACGTGAGTCATGCTGAGACAGAACATGTTTGTTAGCTCTTGTATCACTGGCTGGAGTCAGGCTGGGTGCTCAGTGGCCACTGCATTTGGGGGCACGATTTGGGAGTGAAGAGGCGGCAGCCTGACTTCCGGCTGAGGGTCCAGCTCTCTGCCGAATGTCCCTGGTTCTCTAAGGAAAAATTCTGCTTAGTCTGAGAGGCTTCTGTCTCTGAGACAGGGATGGGTAGCCAGCACAGCTGTGCACTGACGAGGGGCTTCTTCTGGAACCATGGTGGCTGGGTGCTTGTGTCTGTGCTTCAGGCAGGGCAAGGAGAGCTGGGTGACAGCCACTTTGTACCCTCTGGGATGGGGACTGCCAATCCCTTAAAGGGCCAGGCAAGACGGGTTAGTGAATGGACCAGGAGAGTTCCAAAAAACTTAATACGCACATCGCCATGAGGCACTGCCTCTCCTCAGCTTTTGCAGGCTCCATGGTGCCAGGTCTTTGAGTATTTCGTTGTTTTTTGTGTTGATGGTGCTGGGGCTAGAACCAAGGCCAGAAATGCTGAACAGGCACTATCATCTAGCCATATCCCCAGCCCTAAGACCAGTTATTTTTAATTTTTTGATGCAGTCTATGTAACCCAGCCATCGTTCTCCTGCCTCTACCTCTGGGCATGGGGGTTCCCAGAAGCTACCATGCCCGGCTTTAAGTATCTTGTTTTGTTTGAGACAGTGTCTCACTATTTAGAACAGGCTGGCCTTAAACTTGTGACCCTCTCCTGCTTCCACCTCTTGAATGCTGGGATTACGGGTATGTGCCACCATGCCCAGAAGCCTTGAGCATTTTTAATATGAAAATTTCAAGTTTTCATATGGAATCTTTTTGTTTTTTTGAAACAAAGTTTTACTAAGCCCTGGCTGGCCTGAAACTCACTATGTAGACCAGACTGGCCTCAAACTCACAGAGATCCCTCTGGAGTCCTGGGATCAAAGATGTACACTACCATAACCCAGCTGAAATCTAATTTTTTTTTTTCCTTTTTTGGTCTTTTTAAGACAGAGTCTCCTTACAGCCCCAGCTGGCCTGGAGCTCACTATATAGACCAGGATGATCTTAAACTCACAGAGATCAAGACTGCCTCCCCAGTACTGGGATTAAAGGAGTGCGCCACCATGCCTGGCTTGAAATCTAATTTTCACTTTTATTTATTTATTTATTTAAATATTTTATTATTTTTGTTATGTATATGCGTGTATTGCCTGCATGTAGGTAAGTGCACCTATGTTGTGCAATGCCTTCAGAGGACGGAAGAGGCTGTTGGGGGTCCTGGAACTGGAGTTACAGTTGTTAGCTGCCATGTGGGTACTGGGATTCGAACCCAAGTCTTCTGCAAGAACAACCAGTGTTCTTAACTGCTGAGCTATCTCTCCAGCCCCGAAATCTAATTTTTTAAAAAATATTTTATTATTTTTATGTGTACAAGTGTATTGCCTGCATGTATGTGCATACACCCGTGTGGTGCAATGCCGTGGAGGTCAGAAAAGGGCTTTGGATTCCCCTGGAACTGGCGTTAAGGACGGTTCGCAGCCACCATGTGGGTGCTGGGAATCGAACCCGGGTCCTCTGCAAGAGCAGTCAGTGCTCTTAACCGCTGAACCATCTCTCCAGCCCCCGAAATCTAATTTTTAAATGCTGGTAATTAAGAAAAAAATCTATAGGACAATAAGATGGTTGAAGACCATTAGTTTGAAGACTTAACTGGCCCAAGGGTCAGTCACTGGGCATGTGGAACTGGGGACTAGATGCCAGCTGAGGGGCCATATCCTGACAGTTTTTGAAGTGTCATGTAAGGGAGTGAGTGCTTGGTCCCCTGAGGTCCTGACCACAGCAGCATTTGCTGTGAAGCTTTGAGTAGTCAAAGGGCGCCATAGATTCCTCCCACTGGTGAGAGGGATGTAAGGCTCCACCCTAGTGCCAGCCACAAGGCCAAGCCCTGATGTGGTAAGGGGAGGGACATGGGTGTGGCCCTGAGCCACACAGTGGCCTGCATTTCTTTAGTTGGTCAGATGGGTCACTGTGGGCTGGCACTGGCCCTGCTGTCACTTCACTTTCCTGCCCATGCTTTCCTTTGACCTCAGGGGTGTTGATGTTCCCTATAGATGAGTCTTACGTCCCTTCTCTGCCCCCAACAGTTAATGATCTTCAACATCGCTGCCACCGTTCTCTACATCACTGCCTTTATCGCCTGCGCTGCGGCAGTTGATTTGACATCCCTGAAGGGCTCCCGGCCTTATAATCAGCGAGCAGCTGCCTCTGTGAGTATGCTCTCAGGGCATCCTGCCTTCTGCTCTGATCCAGGCCTTGTCTACTTGAGTCCAGGCCTCTGTCTCCACACTCACAGGCTCCTATCTTAGTTACTGTCTAGATGCTCAGTCGGCCTCAGCTGTTCTCAGGCTTCTTAGTGAACATCAGGACCTGGAGGAACCCAAGGACTTGGGGTCTGAGGTGGAGCTCTGCTGTGCCACACTCAATTCTGGTCACATGTCATCTCAAGCCATTTTTAGTAACTACAGACCTTCCCCCTTTGACAGTCTAGCTACAGATTTGATTTTCATCCTCTCTCAGGAAGCCCAAACTTGGGCTTTGTCAAGTGTCCAGTCAAGAAACCAGTCAGTCATACTCCATCCACAAGGCCCTGCACTGTGTGCCTTGCCCTAGTGAACAAGAGCCTATGAGCACTTTTTCAGATGAGGAAGCTGGCTCTGGAAGGCTAACACACTGGCGTGATGGTCATGTCTAGGGGAGGGCAGTCTTTGGTGTCCTTTCCTGTCCTGGTGATGGTGGCTTTGAAATCAGTGAACTTCCTGGGAACAGAGACCTAAAGTGGCTAAAGATACAGGTGAGAGTATACAGTACAAACACCATCCAGAAAATTCCTGGGAAGGTTTTGAGTATTGTTATTATTGGGGATTTTTTATTTTCAGTTCTTAGGCTAGACGAGCACTCTGCCTGAGCCACATTCCAAATGTTCCCTATGGACACTAAGTCCTTGGTAGGTGTGTAGTTACTCTGTGGTCACACCTATCACAACATGCAGTTGGATACCCATGGTTGCCTGCCGTCACTTAGAAAGCAATGTTAGCTGTGCAGTGAGTGTGGTTGCTGGAACAAGTGGTCTGGTTAGTTTCAGGCCATTTGAGACTTGCTGAGGCTGGTGTCACTGTCCCATGAAGTTCCCATGCTCTGCTCTAACTGACCACCTTGGCCTCTTCTTCTCCCCTACCAGTTTTTTGCTTGTCTGGTGATGATTGCCTACGGAGTGAGCGCTTTCTTCAGCTTCCAGGCCTGGCGAGGAGTGGGCAGCAATGCGGCCACAAGTCAGATGGCTGGGGGCTATGCTTAAGCCAGCTGTGCGGCAGCCAAAGCTGTGGCTGCGTCATAGCACAGGGCCACCTGCAAGCTCACTGGACTCAAGCTCTCTAGCACTCCTGAGGGACAGGCCCAGGCTGGCATGCCTAGAGCTGCCAAGCACCAGAGGACAGCTTCCCCATCCCCCTTATTCAGCAGAAGGTGACGGGGGATGTGGGCTTTTGCTGGCTCTGTCTTGTCATCAAAGGACTTCAGTGTCCCAGGCTGGGCCACCCTTCTCACCAGCACTAAATGCACTAACAGACTCCAGACCTGCAGCCTCTGACCCACCACAGTATAAATCTAACAAGCAACAGGGATTATTTTTGTTCCAGGAGAGTTGAACAAGTCCACAGGCTGTTTGGATCCCGCCCTCCCCTTCCCTAAGCCGATGCATCACCTGTAGGGAGACATTTATAGAGTTAAAATATAGAGTTAGGAGCTCAGACACTGGGCAATCTCAGTTGATTTTAAGCAGCTTCCCATTGGTGGCAGCCTCTCCAGGTCGCCTCCCTCACCCAGGCCCTGTGGTACTCTCCCTTTGGGAAAAGCCAGCATTAGTGCAGGCTGCTCCCCCAGGCCTCTGATTAGACACTAGGGACTTTGTGGAGGGAGAGAGGGAGGGAGGGAAGCAGGCCCTGCCTGGGGAGTTGTCATGGGATTGGTAGTGACTTTGTTTTGGGATTTTTTTTTTCTCTTTTTTTACGATTTAAATAAAGTGGAAGAACTTATTTGGAAAAGTATTATCCTCGTGGTCTTAGATGTTTATAAATTCTATTTCTAGACACTTTTTGGTTATTTCAGAAAAACTGGGGGGCTGGAGATGGCTCAGTAGTTAACAGCACTGGCTGCTCTTGCAAAGGACATGGGTTTGGTTTCCAACACCCACATGGTGGCTAACAACAGTCTGCAACTCCAGTTCCAGGGGATCTGACGTCCTCTTCTGGCCTCCATGGGCATTTCATGCATGTGGTACACTTACATACATGCAAGCAAAACACTCATGTACATAAAATACAAATAAAACAAACAACTCCTCCCCCCCGAAAATAAAAGAAAAATTGGGCTCAGCCATGGTAGTGCACACCTTTAATTTCAGCACTGGGGAGACAGAGGCAGGCAGATCTCTGTGAGATTAAGGCCAGCCTGGTCTACATAGCAAGTTCTAGGCCAGTTGGGGCTATAGGGAGACCGTTAAAGAAAAAAAAAAAAGGAAAAAAAAGAAAAGTTGGCAACAATTAAGATGTAATAGAATCAAAGAGTTGCGACTGAGTCATTCAGAGGGAGGGAATCAAATCTGGCTCCAGGTCCCAGCTCACTGGTTGTCTTGGTTACCGTAAATATTAATAGCATCCACTTTGCTCTCCAGTGTAGAATTTGGATGATGAAGGATTAAGCCCTAAGGAGGGCTTGTGTTTAAGGAAGAGCAATACATTTTGAGGCTTAAAGTAGAATCCTGGTAAGCCAGAGACCTCACTCTTTTATCAGGTGTCCAGCACCCCAACACAGCCCATTTTAGGGGAGACATTACAGGCTCTACTGCTCAGGTGAGCACTGCTTTTCCATGGATGAAGAAAAAGGCAGCCTCCCAAGGTTGGGCAAGAATGTGCCAGAGCATCAGTTTTCCTGCCCTGGGCCAGACCCAGCCTCATCACAGGAGGAGACACAGAACAAGCAAGCCTGTTTAGATGCCGAGCCCTGCTGCTCTTACAGCCTGCCTGCCTCCTGGGTCTTTTTTATTCAGTATTTTGTCTCTGAACTTGTTCACTTGCTTTTCTTAACCAGGCAGGCTCTTTTTCTTGTGCTTCTAACATGCCTGCTTGCAATGGGCAGCCCTGCTTATAAAAGAAGCAGGAAGGGAAAGCCAGCGCAGGAGAGGTGGCATTTACAAAGCTGGCCTCCAGAGGGCCTTTGATCTCAGAAGACCAAAGCAACAATACCCGGATGGCAGTGGTTACATTAAAGTGGACAATTCCTGTGCAACGATGGTTCTTCCAAAACACCTCAAATTTTACTCATGTTACAAAAGTAGTAAGTGACACATTACTACAGAAAAACACACAGCTTAGCTTACAACTCATCCTTTAAGTCAGAATGGTCACATGGAAAGTCAGTACAGATTCTTAGTTTTACTATAAAAATGAAAATCAAAAGTATACATTAGGAATTGAACTATTGTTTTTTTTTTCTTTCTAGAGATGTGATACTCATGCTTTCTGGTTGGTGATGGTCCACCAAAGCCAACAGGTGACCAGCCAAGCTGTGCACTGATCCCCTACTCCCACCCCCCAGCCTGAGCTGGATCAGGGGAAGTATCAGCTTGGCAGGAGAGATAGTGACAGGAACAAGTTTCAGATTCCCCTCCCCTCACTGGCTCATACCAAAGGACTGTAGGCAAACATGCACAAGCACACTTAGCAAGCTGTAGTAACAGGATAACCGCAGTCTACTTCTAGCATATAGCCTGTCTGCACTGGTGCCTAGAAAGAGGGTCACCAATGCAGAAAGCAGTTTTGCAATGGCAGCACTAACAACTAAAAGCACACAGCATATAATACTTTGATCTTTTAAGTGGGTGATCATGGATGTTCCAAGATCATATCCACTAGATTAGCCTGAGTTTTCATCTATAAAAATATTTTTCTTGAAAATAATGCTTAAAAGAGACTTAGAGAAACAATGGGACTACATCAAGACCAGCAGAAGATAGCGTCAAATGGACTGCAAATATAAAATTGGGAGTTCATTTTCACACATAGGTAGAAGACATCTCTCTCAGCTGATTCCTACAGCCAAGCCAAGCTGCAGTCACAGGAGATTCAGAAATGAGGACAGGCAGCTGGCTGCGGTAACTCTCTAGATCAATACTCCCAAACAAAAACTCCATTGAGGCTGAGGACTGAAATTGACCCATGTAAGAAAGAGCTGTGGGTGCACAAAGACTCATGCAAAGCCTGCAGAACAAAGGGCTCACGATGGTGGGTTATCACACTGTTGACATACTAACACGTTGCTGGGGAAGGGCCTGCGGCTGAGGTGGCCAACACAGGCCTGTTCCAAAGCTACTCAGAAGCATTCAGAAGAGGTGCCTGTATGGGGGAGGAACAGGAGGCTTACTGAATACAAGAAGGTGTTTCTGGACAAGGGCCAGGAGGGTTGGTCATATTGTCTGGGACTTCGCAATACTTCACATGAATGAAGGACTGGGCACAGTTGGTCTTTCCAAGATGCATCTTCTGCTCATGCCTCTCTGAGCATGTTGGACTGGATTTCAAAGTGATCCCACCTGTTGTCTGGAAGTGGGCCCTAGTGCCGCAGGTTGTTTTGGGAAGCTGGCGTAGAAGATGACTTGCACAAAGAAGTCACAACCAGACCACTGCTTAAGTCCAGTCCACGGCCTTCTTTTTCCTAGAGGAAAAAATCAGAGAACTTCAAGATGCAAGGAATGGAAGCAGCCTCCTGGGCTCAGAGGCCTGCCTGTGGGATGGAGGACTAGAGTTCAGGATGGTAGGGTAGCAGTGTGGGATCGAAAGTAGTGAAAGTGTGGGGAGGGTCACAGGTTATTTCCATCTCTGCTCAACACTGGCCTAGGCACCCCTGAAAAACATGTCTCTCTAGCTGGGTATTGTGGTGCATGCCTTTGACCCTAGCATTGGGAAGCAGAGGGAGTCCAAGGTCAGCCTGGTCTACATAATGAGTTTCAGGCCAGCCAGGATTATACAAGGAGACCCTGTCTCAAAAACAAAAACAAAAACACCTCTCTTTTGCTTGAAATGTTTTTTACAAAGAGCCTGCATAATAAAAAAGGTGACAGAATGAGACAGACCTGCTCTTTCTTTTTTGTCCTGATTGCTGGGGATTCTAAGGTGGTACCTGGGCCAGTTTCACCAAAACATGGAAAAGTCCTGGCCAGAGTGGAACAGCAGCTCCTGCCACTGATGCCTTACATGCTAATAAACTGATACTAGCCATTTTAAGGGGAAACAAAAGATGGGGGTACAGGAAAGGAGGTTGTCTTAGTAGCTCTACTTGAAACTTTCTAAGTGGTTCAGTGCAGCAAGTAGGTGAGCAGTCAAAACTTACTGCTCTGTAGTCGAGAAACATTTCCTTAAAAGCCAGAAAATCTGTGAATGTGAGCAGCATGTCAAAGATGTCGCCAGCCACTTCATCTTTATGGTGCCTGCAAAGGAGAGAATGGTGGCTTCATACATGAACAGCAGGACAGACTCCAAGATGTGCAGGCTGGACATGGTGGGGCATGCCTGCTTTCCCAGAACTTAGGAGGTGAAGGCAGGAGGATTGGGAGTTCAAAGTCAGTCTTGGATACATAGTAAGCTCAAGGCCAGTCTGGGCTACAAAAGACCCTGCATCAAAAAAACAAAAAAGATATCTTGCAAAGGTACTGAGGGCCTCCCAGCTAGGGCTCTCATTGAAACAAAGGGAGAGTGGTTTTCTTCAGTCTAGGGAGGAGAAAGGCGAGAAGCACAGAGCCAGGGTCAAGCTCAACTCACTGCAGTGTCGTGGTGAAAGCCGCCATGTTGAAGCCGGGGATGCGCTCCAGCAGTTGCCCTTCAATGTACTTCTCTATCAGAGAAATCTGCAACAGTGGAGACAGATGACCGTGTGGGCCCTTGGTCTGGGAAGAAAGATCTCTATCTTTGCAGAGAGCCTGTTCCTGCCCTTGGCAGTCATCACCTGAGACCCTCTGTGTGTGTATGAAACAAGTGTACAGATGCCTGGAGGCCAGAAGAGGATGGAATAGCAGGACCTCTGGAATAGCAGGAAGTGTTCTTAGCTGCTAAGCCCTGTTTTTTTTTTTTTATCATTAGTTTGTGTTTGTGAGTGTGCTCATACAAATGAAGTGTACATGTGGGAGTCAAGAGACAATTTTAAGGAGTTGGTTCTCTCCTTCCACCATTGGAGTTCCTGGATCAAACTCCTATTGTCAGGCATTGCTTGGAAAACAGTTTTAACTGAACCATCCCACTGGCCCTATTATGGTCTTTTTTTTGTTTTGTTTTGCTTTGTTTTTAGTCTTTTTGAGACAGGGTCTCCCTGTAGCCCGAGCTGTCCTGGAACTCACTATGTACACCAGGCTGGCCTTGAACTCAGAGATCCACCTGCTTCTGCCTCCCAAGTGCTGGGATTAAAGGCGTGCGCCACCATGCCCAGCTTGTTTTGTTTTTATAGCACACAAATGCAAGGTATTACAACTGAAAACAGGATTATGATAAAGCTAAAGTTTTTTAAAACAAGAAGCTGCAATCTCATCAAATATTATCTGAAATTCTTTTAGAAAATATCCTCAAGACTTGGCAAGAGAAAATGATCTAAACCAGATTCTAATCAGAATTCCCCCAGTGCTGATACATATTAAAAATTGAGCCAAATTGAACTTTAAAAATTTTTATGTGAATTGCTTGCAGTTCTTTAAGTGCACCCATGTTGTGTAAATGGCCATGGAGGTCAGAAGAGGATGTCAGATTCCCTTGGAACTGGAGTTATGAACAGTTGTTAGTTGCCATGCAGGTGTTGGGAATTGAACCTGGGTCCTCTGCAAGAGCAGCTAGTGCTCTTAA